GTCTCACCAGTATTGCAGGCAAAGCCCATGGTGAGTCAGATTCTTCAATGACACCTTGTTCAAGGAGTTCAGCAATAGTTTCGTCAATTACTTGTCTTCCAGCAGGAGAGGCATGGTAGGGGGCTTGAGAGATGGGAGAGGCATCTCCAGTGTCAATTGTCATCTCTGCCAGAGTTGTTGATCCTAGCTGCCGTGCTCCATAACCAAAAGCCATGTAGTTGTTTTTCAGTACCTGGATGAGTTGTTGTTGTTGAGTGTTGGAGAGGGAGGGGTTGATTGATAAGTCATCGAGGGGGAAGTTGTTTTGGTGAGTTTTGTTATCAAAGTGTGTTGTAATGTCATGAGTGTTATGATGGGTTGAGTGAGATATTGGAAGAGCTGCGGGAATAGCCGGGAAGGAATGTCCAATTTTTGTACCAGCTTTGAGAGTGATAGGTTTGTTGCCAAGGTGAACGATATGGGCAAAATGGTTGGAAGCTTTTGAATTTCCAACAGATCTTCCAACATGCAAGTAAGATCCCAGTGATTTAGGATTTACCACATAATAAGGTGTTGAAGGCAAATCAGTGATAATAATTCCAACTTTATGTTGATAACCTGGCTGAAAAGTATAAGTCTCCTTGAGTCGAATAGCCTTATCAGGAGACTTGCCTTCAATCAATTGACGGTCTGGCTGTTGACATGTGGTGGGTATGGTCCCAGGGATTGTTTTGAAAGTGAGTGTGTTGTTGGCAAGGTCGATAACAGCGCCCATGGGTGATAGAATGTCATTCCCTAAGATTATTTTTGTCAATAAGTCAGGCACCAAGAAGAATGCTACTGGGACAATGATATGATCTTGCTCTGTTGAGATGAAGTTGAGATCAATTTCAATCCATGCAACAGCATTACTCCTGCCTAAGCCTCGCAGTTCAAACTTGTCAAGAGGGTTAGTCTTCACATTGGGTAAGTACTGTTTAGCATAGTTAACATCCATCAGTGATATTGATGAGCCCGAATCAATGCAGACTCTGTGTAGAGGTACATTTGCTGCATCTGACTTCAACTTTGCAAGAGAAAAGACTGGTGTCTTATCTTTGTGAGCATCTTGCAATGTCAATTCCTGCAGGTCTGGCATTCCGTCAATCTGGTCCTTAGCCTTGATATGGATGTGGCGGTGGGACTGATCGTAAGCTTTTGATTGAACTGAATTTACTGATGGTGTCTCACCTTCCACTGGAGTTGAAGTATTGGTGGTTGGGCGAGAGTTGTTTCGAGCTTGCCATTTGTTACCATTATTGTTGGGAATGGAGTTGGGAAAGGTTTGTCGAGGTGGAAAACAATTAGAGTTTGGGTTAGGAGTGGGTGGTGGGGGATTAGAGATTGTTGGGCGGAGGGGTGTCTGCAATGGATTACCTTGGGGAGTTTTGTTTGGGCAGTCTCGCCTCCAGTGATATCCACCACAGACACATGGAGTGCGAGGCATAGATGTGATTTGATTGCTGTTGTAAGCTCGAGGTAGTCCAGAAGTTGAGTTTGTTGTTGTATTTTGTGTAGTGTTGAAGCGACCTGTAGATATGTTAGCATTATTCAATGTGGAAGAGGAACGATACTGTGATTGATTACCTCGGCGCAAGCCTGGTTCCAAGTCCATCAGGTGTCTCCTAAAGTCCTCCAAAGTCATTAAAGGTGTAATGCCAGCCTTTATGAGTGGGTGCATACTGACAGGAATACCTGTGAGAAGGTCATCAATCAAGTCAGCATCCGGGGTGGTTGGAGGGTACACATAGCGCTGGAGATTAGTTTTGTCCTGGAAATAGTCAGTAAATGTTTCATTCACACGGAGGGTGCGATAAAGACATTGTCTGCGAAGGGTCAGCTTATGATTAGGGAGATAGAAAGCATTACAAAGAGAGGTTTTCCAAGCATCCCAAGTGTTCAAAGCAGCACGGCGGATTGAACCTAGCTGTGTGAACCAAGTTGAAGCTTTGCCAACCAGGATCAATGGAAGTTGTTGAAGTAGAACCTTATCCTGAACACCAGAGTATTCAAAGATTGCAGATACTTTCTCGATCCATTGATCCACATCCTCATTATCTCTACCACCAAACTTTGGTAAGTCTGAGGCCTTGAGTTTAAGAGAGGAATTATGGTCATCAGTTCCAAAAGGAGCAGAAGCACTGCGGCGCTGAAGAGCAGCACGGAGTTCAGTTACTTCTTGTTGTGCAGCCTCCTGATCTTGCTGAGTGGTGGCAAGTACATCCTGAAGATGTGCTTCAAGCTCTTGTTCCTTGGTACGCATGGAGTGTCGAGCTTCCTGAAGTTCGATGTTGGTGTCTTGAAGTTGTTGTTGGAGTTGAAGTACCTGTTGGGTCAGCGTAGCAATACTTTCCTGTTGTCCAATCTGATCTTCATCAGTTGGGGCAGGAGGATTTTCTTGAGGTGGTGGCGGAGTTGGTGTGGGGGAAGTATCTGCAGCAGGGGGAGCAGATGAAGATCTATGTCGAGATGGTGTTGGGGTGAGAGGTGAAGTTGCACCTATGTTGAAGGGAATTGCAGGAGCATTCGCAAGGCGAGTGGTAAGTCGAGTTGCAGGTCGGATAGAAGTCATCTTGATGTTTTTGGTGCTTATTTGTGTTTCTGTAAGTTGTAAGTTGCAAGTTGTAAGGAGCCTTGAGATAGTTTTGAAGTAGTTATTGAAGTCTTGAGAGCTAGAGGTGTCAGTAGTAGAGAGCAGTAGGCAGTGGTAGTACCAGTAGGAGTACTAATAGGAGGAGGAGGAGGAGAGGTGCACAGGGGCACAGAAGGACCTATAGTCCAGCTTCTGCAGAAGCTCTTCCCAGATATCCCAATGGAGTCTGAGGTGAGAACTCACCTAGTTGCACGGAACTGATATGGGCGAGCGGTTGGCCAACCTAGAGGAGGAGTCAGAGTAATAGTGGAGTAGTGAGGCAGTCAGAGTAGTAGTCAAGATCTAGAAGTTAGCTTTACAGGTGATGAACCTGTACTGTATGTTGATTAGAGAAAAGAAAAGAAATGGAACTCAGCTTTTTTTTTCGATTTTAAATTTTTTGGGTCGTTATATCTGGCCAGATAGTAGTCGTTAAGTCGTTAGAAAATTTTTGTTGAGAGGTTGTTGGTAATCGTTGGTGTTACTACTAACTGATGGATGTCAGTCAATAGTTGTTGAAGGTTGTTTTGAAGAAGGTACAGTCAATAGAGTATAGGTTGAGGAGTAGTAGTGATGATATCTAAAGATGGAATGACAGTGGAGAAGGACAAAGGAATGTTTGAGCAAGGGTTAGATGATGGTGAAGGAAGGTCAAGTGATGATGAAGGAGGACAGAGTGGTGATGAGTGAGGATGAAGTGATGATGAGTAAAGGGGTTTCAGTGACTTACTCAAGTACTAATCCAATAAACCAATGACCAAGGTTGAGCTAGCACTAAACCACAAGACAGAAAGAATCCGGATGAGCGCCCCAGTTGTAATGATCCTGCTTGTGAGGATCACCACAAATAAATAAATGTAACCTACCCGTAGGGCTGGATACTGTCGGAACTCTGTGATGTGGATAATACTAGTCAACAATGGATCAAAGGTCAGTAATGGTCAGTAAAGAGTGTATCAAGGAAACTAAAGAGGGTCTGAGAGAGGATGGAGGAAAAAGGAGGAGAAGAAGGAGGAGAAGAAGGAGGGAGAAGAAGAAGTGAGAAGAAAGACAATGGAGGAAGAGATCCCCCTCAGACCCAGCTTATATACATGATTGGGGTTCCGTAGTACGGAACAGCTACGCCATATTTTACGGTACGGGGATTATTACGGATTAGAAGTCCTCTAAGGAGAGGGACAACTTGATCACGAAAAGAGAATAGGAGGAATAGGGTTCTTGCTAGGGAGGATTACAATAAGTATGAGATGAGTGATAAGGAGAAGGGAGAGGAAGGGGACTATGGACTACTCCTCATGTAGGGGACAGCCAGGTTCACTACACTTGAGAACGTAGTCTTTCGTATGTACGAGATACGACATTACGCGCTTCGCAAGTGCGAGATGCGTTTCAGTTGGCTTGGCTGAGAATCGAGCAAAATATTGTGTTGCAAAGCATATGTCAGGTGGTGTCGAACTTGCAATCCACATCAATGATCCAATGATCTTTAGATAGGGAGTCGTAGCTTCGAGCGGTGTCGAAGTGGTGTAGAGATCTGTCACAGCCGTCGAATACAGTCGGGTCTGTCAAAACCCATAGGGCCGGGGAGAGTGGCGGAGTTATGGGTTACCACGGACTATGGAATTTGACGAAACTGCCACACATGCATGCATTTCTCCCTTTCAACAGACATCATGACCGAAGTCATAGAGACCGATGATTGGTACATGATCCTAGATGAAGAACCAAATACAGCAGAAGCAGAGCTAGAAGAAGTGTTGGAGGAAGGTCCAGAGGATTCGGTAGAGTGCACCAATACCACAAGTGTCATGAATGACACTATCAAATAATGACTTGTCATAATCACAAGTTCAAACCTCCACTCTCATATCTTCCTCTGCTCTCAAGCCTATCAGGCATCAACCCCAAGACTATCTTTCCTGTGCTCTTACGCCTGACAGGCATAAGCCCCAAGTACTTCTCTAGTTTCTCTTTCCTCTGTTCTGATGCCTTGTAAGGCATAATCTCCCAGTCTCTTGTTCTCGCAGCTCTTCTATGTTCTGCATAGTTCCTCATAGTTCCTCATCGACCACCTTTGACAAAGTCACCGACTCACGGTGCATCACGTAGGATATCATAGTAGGGTGTAGGTAAACGCAAATATGGCATCGTAGGATATCAGTGGTAATCGGTGGGATGCATGGCAATGCATGCAGGACAGCGCAGGACGGTTCAGAGCGCTCGTATTCCGCAGGTCTGCACGAGCCTCTTGGAAAAGGCTGATTTTAGTATTTAAACCCTATCTAGTGCTGTAGTTTTCTTCTTCAGCAATGTATCTTTTCAATTCCCTTCCCCTCGTTTGATAAGTCACTCAGTTGGTTCTAACCCAACCTCTCGAACCCTCAGCACCTAAGGCAGTCACCAAGGTCCACGAGCCAGAGACTAAACCCCTCAGTTCCCAAGGCAGTCCTTTGCTACCGCAGTCTACCCGCAGGCGTGACAACAAGGGGAGGATCCGGATTGGAAGAAACCCCATGTGAGTGATCTCACTGCTTGCCGGTCTGGCTAACTTGAGCAGCTGAACCAAAATCCAAATGTGTCCGAGCCAACCCCTCCAAGCGTAATGCTACCCTCAAGCAGAAGATAGAAGTTCTTGACTGGATCAAATCCACCGGCAAAAGCCAGCTGAAGGCTGCTCGTCATTTCCGTGACATCTACCCAAATGTCAGTATCAATCAACCGGTCATTTCAACATGGAACAGAGATGAGGCAAAGCTGCGCACTCGATTCACCTCTAATGTCAGCGAGCATCAATTGCGACGAACACGCCAGCCACGATTCCGAGCAGTCAATGAAGCCCTTGCTCTTTGGGTGACTGTCACGAACAACGTCGTGACATCTCTGACAACCACCATCACCGACCCTCCTTTCACCATCACCGACCTTCCTTTCACCACCACCAACCTCCACTCAAACCACTGAGACCAGCTACGGCGAAGTTACGAGAACCGAGAGAGGATTTGTCACGATAACCCCGCCTAGCGGAGAACTACGGCGAAGTTAGGGGAAGGGAACCGAGGGAGAGCAGAACAGGGGAAGTTAGGTGAAGTCAGTCAAAGTGAGCGGAGTAGGATATCAGGGATATGGCGAGGTACGGCGAAGTTGAACGAAGAGGACTGAGCGTGAGGCAGTGCAGGAGTTGAGGGACGTTCTATGAGAAGAGAGGAGTAGTATAGATAGTTTACAGGTCGCTGAACTTCTTCAGCGATCCTTGATTGTTGTCAGTAGCGAGAGATATATTCAGTAGCTACAACCTTCAAGTTAAGGAGAGCTACCACCGAGCAGTTCAACGTACTACGGCGAAGTTAGCCGTAGTTCCTCGACGAGTACCCTGTCTTAGTGAGACAACGACGCCCCACTACGACGTAGTTAGCCGAGGTTTGTCGACCGTCAGTCAGTAGAGAAGAAGAAACGACGATTGTGACATCGCATGACTTTTGTCACGAGACCAACTAACCAGCATTGGGACGATATAACAGTGCCCTTCAGAGACAGTGGTCTAGACCACTGTGCTAAAAGGCCTATTAACCGGCGGTTACTGCATACCGCCGGTTGCTGGTTAAATACCCAACCCATCCATCACTATCACTATCAAACTGTCTTGTCACTTCGTGACAACTTTGAAGTCGCTTCAAGGAAGCGAATCAAGGAACCAGAGCGCACGAGTATCAGCTGAGAACTTGCATCCTGACTCTTCAGCTTCAAGCCAGAGTAGGTTAAACTTCTGTAGGTGTTGTGTCATCTCCGTATCCGTAGGGTTCGACTTGAGCATAAGCATTTGTAGCTTGCGTTCGACATCCGTACGATGTTCGGGTGTCTGTAGTTGCATATCTGTTGCAAGGAATGTCCACATTTTGTATGCGGTTCGAAGAGATCGTAGATCAATGAGCAAACCGCGCTCGACTTTGCTCATGATCGCACCTTGAGCTCGAAGTTCGCGTTTACGCCACGATTCCCAGCGCTCTTCATCATCTGAGTTGAGTGAGGTGTGGGTGATAGTCTCCTCAGCTGTAGGTACGACTGATCCTGCTTGAACCGTAAGAGCGATCGTAGGTTGGCGGTACGGTTTGACATCCGTACCTTTGATTATCCCAAGACATCCATGGATAAGGAGATAGTTTTCTATGGCAAGTTTCCAATCAAAACAGTTGCTTTGACTCAATAGTACAGGTACGGATTCGAGACCGATCGTAGTCGAACGATCGTGCGACATCGTGCTTTGTATTTCAGCTTATGAATCGTATTACAATAATAGACTCTCGTAGAGAACTTATCGTACGCAAGACGTACACCAGAGGCCTCTACTGTGTACGCCACCAGCACGGACTGGATTTTATACGTCTGCGAGGCGACGTCTACGTCACAACCGAAGCTGGACTGTCCTTATTCTACTACACCAGTATGGTGCTTCGTATACGGTTCGTCGTATGTTTCCCGATGTCTCGTCGGGTCGGTTCGTATGCACGTTTGTTCGAGTGCGTACGATCGGTGCGATATCTTCACTAAGTCTAGAGATTGAGACTTTTAATCTGTTCGAAGTGTACGACGAGTACGATTACGATGATAGTAAAGAATATGCATTGTAGACTACGGAATAAAATCGTATTACCAATCCGTATCGTAGTTACGTGGCATTACTTCAACACGCGTGACATTAGCCCCATCTGATGTGCTTGCAGACCACGGACTTGCATAAAATCTCAGCTTTACTAGTCCAGATCATCGTGCACTTGTTCAGACTTGTCAAGCCAGTGGGCAAGCTGGCAACCTCAACAAATGTGCTCCAGCAAGACAAGGACAGACTCACCGACAGCATCACATGGGGAGCGGAGGCTCGAGTCAATCTCATAGTTCCTTGACTGAGGCTCCAGCTCTTGAACGCCTCAACCACTGAAGGAGGGAGGTCGTTAGGATATTGGAGGATGGTGTTCCTCCATTGTACAGCCTCACTGTCCTCAGGTGAACCAATCATTATCCGGCAAAATCCACCACAGTACCAGGGCTCTGCATCCATGGGCTGCCAGGGCAATGGATAGATCCTAATGGAGTAGGTACTGGCCACTTTGTACACATCTCCTTTAGTAAGCTCAAGTAGCTGTCGTATAGTGCACAGGCTCCCAGGTAGATTGGATGCGTCAAGGTTGACTTGCGCAACTGTTCGCTCACCCTGAGTCCTTTTAAAAGCTACACGCAATTGATCAAGAGTCATACTCTCCAAGACCTCAGAAGTCAGTGCATTCCCAAGATTCATGGTATTTTTGCTTTTCATGACTTCTTGGATTTTTGCTGCCAGCACCGTTGAAGGTAGGCTGTTGCTAGTCTTCTCGATCGCAGTGGCCGCCTTCCTGAGCCCGTAGTCACCACCATATGAAGGCGGGGGTAATATCCCACACCTAAAGGTGGATGTGCTCCCATTAGGTTCCTGTTGAGATCCTGAAGTTGCATCACTCCCTCCAACTGAATCAGCTGGTCCCATCTTGGCTTGCTTGGCTGCAAGTGCGTCTGCCAGGGCCATATCATCAGTAGTGCTCTTACTGTGGGGCAGTCCGGAGGAGGGTCTATGCAATCTAGATTTGGGCTTCTTCTTACGCTTTCCGCTTCCTACTGTTGTCTTGAAAACAGAGCTGACCTGTCCAGAATCAGGGGTGTCCAAGCGCTTAAGATCAACAATTCTTTGTGTCTCCGTCCAGTGACCTTTGAGTGTAGTTGTCTGCTTGGGTGGTGTTGTTGGTGGTATTTCTCTTGTGAAAACAGAGTTGAATGATGGCCTTCTGGTATGACTCCCTATTGTTGTGGGATGTGGGGCCTGTAAATCTGTTGAGTGAACATTCGAAGAATTGTTTGGAGGAAGCATATCTGTCTCAGCAGCCGATAGGACGATATTTTCCTTTTGCACCTCTCTCTTTGAATTTTCATCTCCTCGTTTGGCTGCGGCTGCGAAGTTACCAAGGATGGAAAAGTTAGTACCAGGCCCTGATGCTTCAGGGTGTACTTCCCTATCAGTGGTAGTATCTCTGATCTGATTTGCCTCACTGTCGAAATGCAAGGTGGTGTCGCTGTTGGCTAAGCTATCTGTTTTGGCTGGAAATTCCTGCTTATGAGGCAGATCATCGATCCCCTCTCCACTGGAAGCGTTCAAAGCGTTGCCACACGACGTATCGAGCTCCTTATCTATGTCTTTCAGTAGACTTTGGATCAAACGGTCGGAGGACAGCCAGAAATCTGACATCCCTGGTTCTTCCCGGCTGACGGGATCCAAATAATTTTCGGGCATGCTTGATGTGGAGTGGTTCAAATTTACGAATGTTTTGAGAATAGCAATATGGTCTACTAAATAGCAGTTTCCTCTTCGAAAGGGCATGTCGAGTCCCCGCTCAGAGCCTGTGGGGCTAACGGTTCGATCCTTTGTTGAATGGAGAGAGCGGACCATGAAGATGGTCAATCCATTGATAGGAACAATACAAAGGGGTTATACTATTTGTCAGCATACACAGCTCAAGGGCGATGCGCGATCCTGGCAGTGCTTCACACGTACGCCCACACAGTCCAAGAAGAACGAAATGTCATGTCCCGGAGAGTCGATTTCCCACGCTATTCTTTCTCCTCGTAAGTCCCGGCTTCGAACGACTCAAACAACCTAGAAAGGCCGTGCAGAATAGCGTAAGGACATCGGGCAGGGGAGGAGACACAACGGATCGAGGGCGAATGACTAGGAGATTCGCATTCGCCGGCAGTACATCGTATCGTAGGGTTGGAGGGAGGGGAGTGAAGTGGAGTGGAGTGGACAAAGAGAACCTACTACTACTTTCGCCACTGCGTGAGTCCCGATCTAACATTCTCCACTTTTCCATACGTACAAAAGCAAAAGAACATCTACTTCCTTGTCCTCCCCGTCATCACGTTCACCTGCTCGCGTCGCGCAAGTAAGGTCGGTCTTGTGTGGAGTGTTCGTGTTATCCTTATGCCCCAGGTTTGTCACTGGATAGCATGTAGACTATGAAGAAATGAAGTTTGTTGTTCGGGTTGTAAGTGCTCATATCAGCTGTCACTCAGGTCATTCGAGAGTGCAAGTAGTCATGAGATGAAAGAGGAGGGTGAGGAAAGATAAGCAGTCGTCGTAGAGGAGGTTTGAGACCTTGACGACATGTGATCGAGAATCGTGTACCGTGGACGGGAAGTCCCAGGTTGAATTTGTGGCGCCGCATCCGCCGCAATACACTCAGTTTAACTTACCTCAATTTCCTTCACTCACCTGCCACACCATACCATGGAGAGACCAAAGCAAGGTTTCAACCATGCAGAAGACTTGGAAGCAGAACATGACCCCACATTCCCGATTGATATTGAGACACTGCTACCTCTCTTGCATAGTGTCTATGCCCCAAATCCCAAGGGCAAGAATGGCAAGCCGGCTTCTCGTACGTTCAATGAACAGCAGAGAAAAGCGTGCTGATGTTCTAGCAGCTTACTCCGATCAGCTGCGCAAGGCCATGGAGCAGTACTATCAGGAGGGCATGACAAGCTGGCGGTCAGTGAATGAACGCCTCAAGCAAGAGTATGGCAAGGACATGAGTTTTGGGTGAGTCATCTGTCACCCCCATTGACGTTTGCTCATGCCTTCAGTTCTCGCTCCAGCTTTTTCCGTGCAACGAAAGCATTTGGGCTTGGTACTTCACGAAAAAACCTTCTATCTACCCAAGAGGTGGCACAGGTCATGCAAGAAGAACTTGATCAGGATATCAATAATGTTGTTGGAAAACGGGCCATGAAACATCATCGCCTTTCCCTTCGTGGATTTCTTATTCCACGGTCAGTCTTCAATGACAGAAGTGCAGGACAATGCTGACAACCCCAGAGATCTGGTTTACAAGGCAATGAAAGAGTATGCACCAGAGGGCGTGAAATCTCGTCGACCAGGTACCAAGAAAATCCAACGATTCCCAATCATCTCCGTTGGACCCAATGAACAATGGTCTATTGATGGTCATGACAAATTGTCCTCATATGGGATTGGGATCTATGGGATAAGAGATGTTTACTCTGGACGTCTATTACTCTTGAAAGCAATGCCCTGTAATCGTCGGAGTGCAGATGTGCACAGCATGTTCCTTGATACCATTGTCAAACTCGGAGGTCAGTGATCATGAACAGGTATGAGCATGTCACTGATGGCTCACAGGATTCCCTCTACAGATTGCAAGTGATCGTGGTTCAGAGATTGGGGAGGTAATAGCCTCACAAATTGCCTTTCGGTATGTTTCTCCTTCTCATACACATGGCAGCCTTGCTTATCAACCAGAAAAACATATTCTCCCATTGCTCTTGAAGATGTCTTCCCATACAAACTCCTGAAAAGCACTCACAACATCACAATTGAACGATCTTGGAGAAATGTCAGAGAGAATGTAGTGGACCAGGTCAAGATTGCCCTCCATTCCGCATATAACTCTGACATGATCCATGATGGGGATCCCGTTCACCAGTATGTGACACATTATTTCTTAAAAGAAATCAGTTAATTGACGGCTAGAACATTACTGAATTGGCTTGTCCCTCCTGTTGTTCAGCGGCTACTTGACCAATTCCTTGTCATCTTCAACTCATATCCCGTGAGATATCAGAAAGAGAAGGTTAACCCCTCTGGAGCTTCCAGAAATGATATCTATTTCAATCCTCAACGTTGGGGAGGAAGAGACTGTCTACAACACTTTCCTGAATTATCACTCATTGAAGACTTTCAACGGCACGTTCAAGACCACGCACAGCTGAAATGGGTCTCAGAGCAGATCCACCAAATCTGTCTGGAGATTGCCATTTGCTTGGGACATGCATACCCACCCTCAAACTGGGAGGCTGCCTGGGCAATGTTCAAAGATATTGAACCCAGGGCTCGTGATGAGCTTCAGCAGCTTTGGCTCAATGATGCATAGAACTTGTTTGCCACACTCCATAACTCCGCCTGGATCTTCAACAAGCCACTCAAAACTCTCTTTGAACAAACAATACTGCTTCATTCTCTATATCAACGCCCTCTCTATCCAACCACATATCAGATGCCTTTTACTTGCCGTGACTGTCATAAATCCTTCCTGAAGGACTGCCTACAGCTAGAGGCATGTCCACGCTGCCGCAAAATTGAGCAGGTGAGCACCAATCCAACGGACAGAGATGAGTCAATTGAGTATTACAAAGTAAGTGTCTTTGAAATGATACGAGTAAATTCTAAAGATGCTAGTCACGTCCTCAATGCTCTGCTTGTGGACACTTTGGAGTGCAGTGCTTCTCAAACATGCCACTTGAAGAGAATACCAATGTCAAGCTGTGTAACAAATGTCGACGCGATAGTAAGTGGCTGAATAACAAAGTCCGTAAAGCAGTTGACTGATCTTACAGATGATGCTGAGGCTCTAGCGGTCAGTCGTCAAGTTGCTCAAGCAGAGCTTCAAGGAGCCTCATTTCGTCAAGCCACTTCCATGGCTCAGCAGGGCATTGCCTCTAGTGCATGGTTGCTGGACGAGAGGTCACAGAAAAAGGTGGCTCTCAAGGCAGGCCTTAACTCCAGGGGCCCTGCAATGCAAGTGCGGATCATGCTCAGTGAGCGTTTTGCTCTCCTCAATGTGAGATTCTGACCATATTCTAGTGTGTGCAGGGAAGCTACAGGACTGGAAAGATTCTGTCTTTGACCGGGGCTTTCTGGGGAAATGGAAAGAATCATTGGCATCTAACGTGGAAGAGGCGCGGGTGATAGGTCAAGAGATGTGGGCCCGAGGCTTGGGAGAGGCAGAGTTTGGGCGTACATTCAACCAGTCAGTACTTCCTCTGTGCTTCACCTTTGCCTCCTGCTGACTTAAGATGCTCTCCGCAACCTGCCTTGCCCAACCAGAAGAATGAGCCGATTGCTTTGTCCCAGGAGTTCCTTCCCATCAGTCTACACGAGTTCTTCACTACATACTGTAAACAAAATCGACTCTATCTCACCAGGAAGGATACAGAGCAGACTGGCTTCATACACGTGTTTTGGATACTAAGTGTTGATGATTTGGTAGGTTTCATTGATAAGTAAACAAATGTTGATCCATACAGACCAACTTCAAGCTGCCAGAGCCGGCCTTGCTTGTAGATGAAACAACCAACTCTTCTGATATGACAAACTCTCGAATGTCGCGACGTGTTGCTCCATATTCCCGAATTGTGGCTTCTACTCATCCAAGAACAAGTAGTAGCCACACCTCAATCGATTCAATCAATCAAAGCAAAAGTACTACGTCTCTCACAGGAGCAACTTTGTTTGCTAGCTTTCGTGCTTCAAGTCTTGCTGTTCAGAATAAGGAGACCATGAGTGAGTGAGATACTCCTTGTTACTATATGGAGACTGATATCTAGGCCGCATGGCACTCGGAGTTTCTCAATCACATCGCTTTGTCTTCAAGCCAGTCGAATTTGTGAAAACAGACTTCCACCACAAGAAGGATGGCTCATTTTTTGGCATACAAAGCTCTCTACTAGCTGGTCTATTGGCAAGCAAGCCATTTGCTGCCGGTAGCCACAAACAGGCATTTGAAGTGAGCCAAGTCAAATCATTGCTCATCATAGGTTGCTGCTTACGCTATAGTTCCGATATAACGAGGTTGACCTTGTGGCCAAGCGACACTTCCGTTTTGACCACAAGGAGTTATCTTTGGCAACTATGTCAAAGTCTACCAATCACCAACTTCTTGAAATGGAGTGCAAGAAGGCCATCTTGGTTGCCTCTTATCTAAAGGCGTTTTCAGAAGAGTTGTCAAAAGTTTACGATAAACTGGATCTTCCCAACCTCATTTACACACCCTGCTTTCTTGCAACTTTGTCGTCTACTGAGGAGGAAACCTACATGGTGGAACCCGATCTGCGACCTCTGGGCAAGTACATCAAGATCAACAACACAGACGAGTTCGCCATGCCTGATGAGGAAGAAATTGAAATAGAAGATCAACGTCTCTATCGATTCATGCACGCATTCATTCATTTTGTGTTCCATCGATCAATGGCAGGGTTGAAAACTAGTGAGGCTCGAGAGGAGGCTATGATTGTTATTGCCGACATTCAAGGTAAGTTTGTTTGTAAGACATTTGCAGTGCTGAAGTATGAATAGGGTTTCGTAAAAAGGCATCAGTGACCAGAAGGGGGCCGGTCGATCATGGAGAGTTCCACTTGTTTGATTTGGTTACTCACACGTGAGTAACAAACTTTGTTTTGCTTCTATGTCTCACCAACAGGGCACGGGGAGACTCAAGTATGGGTGATGGTGGTGCTGGCATGTTGAACCAGTTCTTGAACCAGCATATCTGCGGGGATGCGTGCAAGGAACTTGGTCTGACAACTGCTCAAGGTCACCAAAAGTCATTCCCTCGTCCCATGAAATTCGTCAGCTATCGTCATCGTCCCTGGTGGATTGTGGAGGCTCAGAAGGAGCATGAAGCCAAGAGCAACAAGGAAGCTGACAGAGGAGCAAGTGCATTTGTAAGTGTCTGCAAGCCATCCGTCGTTGAGCTCATTGAAGCAGGACTCCATCGAAGAAAATGCAGGAACACAAGGGGGAAATAATGGTGAAAAGGAAATAGAGGACACGGAGACATCTTCCTCGTGACGTCCTTACCCCCTGGCGCTCCTTGCTTGAGACCTGTTCTCCACCTCAAACAACATGCTTGTGAATAAAACAATATGAACGGTTCAATTCTGGAAAGTCAGATCCCAGCGTGCATTGAGGGAAATCTAATCATAGTCTACTGACAATACCATAGCGTACTGGTACTGCCACATCTGACCTTCTTGTCGGTACTGCCACATCTGATTTATAGTCAATACTGCCACGTCTGACCCTTTAGTCGGCGCAAAGAAACCCCCGTGCTCACTATCTCCTTCTCTACCTCTCTGAAAAAATTTCTCTTCTAACATCTCTTGATGCTGGACTTGTTCCAGCTGTCTTCCTCATATTTGGCCGGGAACCCTAAGACAGAGTGATCGTGCTCCTTACTGGTATACCCCAATATGACGACCGGACGAAACAAAGCTCGACGACAGGCTCAGCGTTTGAAACAAAGTACAACCCTTCCGTTTCCTGTGTCAACATGGTTCCGACATGTCATCACATTCCCCTCACTACTCTCTCCACTTGGACTTTCTCGTGAGGTCTTCATTGCAACATTTTTCTCCAAACAACAAGTCCTCTCTCATACGGATCACATCTTCCTCCCCAACCCTCAATACCAACCTGGCAAGCCCAGGTGGGCCGCATTCCGGCTGCACAATGTCGTCACACCAACTCAACAATCAACTCTCTATGAATTGGTCAAACATGTGTGGGATAAGGGTCTCAAGTCTCATACAATTGCGTCTCGAGGTGCAAAATTCCATCAGTGGTGGTTTGGGGTGTGGTGCCGATATGCAAAACACAGCGTCATATCCGCAGATTCTCGACAGAAACGGTCTCAGGAAGCAGTATTAGAGCTTCTCAAGATGTACGATAAGGTATCTGGGGGGAAACCACGCACAATGCTCAATAAACTTGACCCTCCGGTCGCAATTTCAATGGGACACAACCACTGTCGAGTCCGAGACTATCTAGAGTCACTAAAGAATAAACTCATTCCTGCTAGCTTCCGCAAGACCGCAGAGTCGCTTGAAACTACACATTCTACAGCCGCAGCTCTTAGATTGGGAGGAATGGGGATGATGCTCGCAGTATCATGGGGAGAAGGAACAGACTGGCATGTGGATTCCAAAGATTATGGTACGTCTGCTTTTACTTCTCATCTTTTGAGGGAGTCCGCAGATGCTATATTATGTAGTCGCTAATTTGCAGGGAACCATTATACAATCATCTCAGTCCTTGGTTCACCTGCGCTTCTACATTTACCGGAACTTGGCTGTACTATACGCGTGAAGCCTGGAGATGTTGTTGGTTTCCTAGCACATCGATACCTCCACAAGCTAGAACCACTCCGGGATGACTGTGGGGACGGGGGCAGTAATGATGTGGAACAGGAAATGGATGAAAGTGAGATGGACGGACTTGAAATGGACGGAGTTGAGATGGATGGACTTGGAGTGGATGGTTTGGATATGCAGGTTGAAAATTGGGATGGTGTGGACTCTGGGGGAGACAGTAGCGAAGAGTACACCAGGGGGAGCAGTCACTCAGACCAAGGGGGGAACGAGGAGGAGGGGGGAAACGAGACAGAGGAAGGGGGGAACGAGACAGAGGAAGGGGGGACCGAAGACACTCGGCAGGTTGTTTTCACTTGCTGGACTGATCTGAATACTCAAAGCAAACTAGCAGGATACTCTCACTTCTATCAGGTGGGACTGAATGGGGTCAAGTGAATAGACATGCATGTAGAATGCAAGGAAATTTGTATGCACGATGTGGACCATGAATTGAATTGAAAGATCGGAAGGCTCGTTCGTTCCACGATCCAGGATCCGCGACTTAACCTGGGACTTCCCGGCCACCGTATCGTGGCCGTCGTCGATCGAATTTGCTCCCGTGCTTCACATATTCCATACTTCTCCACCGAAAGTCGCTTTGGGTTGCAACTCACTCTTCACCTCATGTCGACCTGATCCCCTTTTAGTCGCTATGTCAGCTCCCTCAGCTGATGAAGTTCTGGGTCTTTGTCATAACTTGGTTTATCAGGTCGCTTACGCGTTCTACGATGCGCCTTATATCATCCTCTTGCGGTTGATGGTACATTTGGGAGTGTGGGTATTTCTTTCGAGACTCCTTTTGTCCTGACCTCGCCACTCGTGCGGATGATGGCACACTCAAACATTCCTGTACTCATCATGGTACTTTTAGGTTGATCAGAGACCGTGTTCCAAGCAGCATGGATCAAAATACAGAGGAGGAGTGACTGAAACAGTCAGAAGTACGGAGAAACGACTAGCGGAGATATGTCAGCTTTCCCCTCAAGAACTGAGGAAATATATGGGAATGTTGCTTGTTCACAGACTGGTGAAACGGTGAGTCAGTCTATCACCACTCATTTTCTTCTGTTCTATCTCCATGTTCTTGGAGTAGTTAGATAGGTACTCCGCAAATCGACCTTGATCATCATCGAATGAATTGCTGACTTGAAAGTCATGTGGGCAAAGAAAAAGCTCCTGTCGATCATCGTCGTACCGATTTCGATCCAGAAGAGAAAATGCGAATACGCGATGTCATCTACTGGTATCTAGACTACCGAGAGTTCGCCAATGTCACAAAGTACCGTCTAGCGGTAATGCGTCGATCTATCGATGATAAAGTCAAGAACGAAGTCGGTGTCAGAGGATACCTCTGTACATCTTGTGGTCGAACTTATGATCCGCTTGATTTAGGTCATCTTTTTGACCCCCAAACCAACGTTTTTCGTTGTGAAACTTGTTCAGAGGAGTTGGTGGAACATGATCCAAGTCAAGATGACACAACTGGTGACAAAGTCGATAGGATGGGACAATTTAATCTCGCCACCGCGCCCATAAGAGATGCCTTAAAATCTCTAGAGGGTATGACTTTGCCGAGTGTCAATATAGTGGCGTGGATGGCGCAGAATGTAAAAAGCGATTTACCTGTGCAGGCTACAGAGGGGAGAGAGGAAGAAAAGAAAGTGCAGATTGTGCTTGGCTCGGGTGGAGAAAGGGAGAGATTAGAAGCGGAGAGAGCTGCCGAGGCACAACGGTGAGTTCGAACACTTTTTTTTTTTTTTTTGACCTCGGCTCTATCACTCGATTGTGCCCTAGTTGACGTATAGGGTACAAACCTCTTTGCCTGTTTGGCATACACAGTCCACTATTACCGGCCAATCCACCTCTCTTGGTTTAGCCGCAGAGCGTAAAGCGTCTGGACCTCATCTCGCCGTCTCCAGGAATACCGATGGAGGGGTGGATGACCTCGAGGAACATTACGCTAACTTGGCCGGGGCGAGTGGAGAATCTTTTCCTCTGGTCAAGCAAGAAGAAGAGGATGAGGACGAGGACGACTTCCTTCCATCGAGTCAGCCTGGAGAGCCGGATGAAGGCGGACCAAGTGGAGAGGATCAAGCAAAGATGATTATGGTCAAAGGCGTGCCCAAGCCTTTGGGTGAGATCACGGAAGAGGACGAGGCGCACATGACACCGGAAGAATACCAAGTGGGTCGTCATCTTTATAAATGTCATCAACTGATAATCAGGCATACTACGAAGCAATATCCTAACATCCCACATGCATATATATAATGTTGACATCTCCCTTCATGTCAGAGCTCCGAGAAGACTGATACTCATTCCTTGCCCTGCGGCCTGCGCCAGCTGGGCTTCCGTAACATGTCTTCTCTCCATCGCCGCCAATCGTTCGGCCTCAGCATCGATGAGCACAGTGGCTGCGTGCCGGTATGCGGTTCGTGCTTGCATGGTGTTGTTTTGCAGAGTCTGCATATGTTTCAGATGTGCCGTCAGCTGCACGTCAGCATAAGACTTGTTGAAAACTCCGCAATCATACACTTCGCTTGGTGGCGGTGATAGGGACATGAAGGGGACACGATGTGTTAAGAGGGTTGGCGCTCGAATTGAAGGGATCATCGTGATCGTGATCACGGGAAGAGTGAAATAAGTTTACTCACTTCTGCCTCTCTTACAGGATCACCGAAAGAAACGCGTAGCGGTGGAAGTTCGAACATGATCCGCTCCACCTCAATCTCCCTTGGGTCTTTCGCAGGCAGAGGTGGAGGCATCGGTGCGGGGGTGGGCGGAGCAGGAGGGGGAGGTTCGGAAGGTTCTTGTTTGATGTGAGGCATAGGTGAACTAATCAAAGGTGGAGTGAAAGGTCGTACTGGAGTTGAGTGTGATGTTCCCTGCACTGGCGATGGGGCGTAGGGATTCGAACCATGTCCGACTTCGACTTTGACAGTAACATAGGGGCTGGGTTTGTCCGATGCACTGGGAATAGGGAGATCAGGTCTGTCCACTCTGTTGTCATTTGAAGGTGCCGGAGTTGAGCTTTGAAGGGGAGATGCTTCTCCTTGTCCTTCACCCTTCCTCGCTGACCAAGATACTCTGCCTGCGGGTGGGTTCGAGGTGCTCTTATCTCCTGTCCCAGCTGACATGGGTTCCGCTTTCATTGTCTGTATTCCTCCACCTCTTCCTGACGGAGCTTGAGGTATAGGAGGAAGACTCGAAGGACCTGTTGGTATATTCTTGACTCCAGGTCTCAACTTTTCTCTTTCCATCCTCTCTAACCTCTCTGTCTTCGGAGCGTCAGGTGGTAATGAAGTCCTTCCAGCTGACACTTTGCGTAATTCCCATGGAGGAATAATAGTTCCTGTCTTTGCGGCAGGGACCGGAGCGGGAGAACGAGGGATTGTCGGTAGAGGTGTATGTATAGTTCTGTCTTCTAATCCAGGAACCCTACGTTCTGATGGTCCACGAGGTATGCGAGGTGGCGAAAGACGTCTGGTAGGGCTTGGTAAACGAGAAGGTTTTCTTGGTGGTGATACGGATGGCGATAGGGACCGACGAGGGGAATAAGGTGAATGAGAATCTGGGAAACCACGTCGAGGTATGTTATCTCTTTCTCGTTCTCTGTCCCTATCCCTGTCTCGGTCTACACGATCATAATCACGATCACGATAATCTCTTCGAGGAGGATCATATCTGTCCCTCATCCTTCGTACATCGTCAAAACCCCTTTCCCTTTCCCTCTCTCTCTCGGTATCACGATCGTCATATCTCTTTAGTGTAGGTGATCTTCTCGGTGGTGATCGTCTTGCAGAGATTTGACCTTCTTCAGGTGACCCACTAGGTGCTCTTTCCCTTTTCACTGGAGAACGTGAAGTCGAATCCAATATTCTATCCCTTTCTCTTTCTCTTTCCCTGTCCCTATCCCTGTCCCTCTCACGTTCTCGGTAATCTCGGGGACTCTGACTTCCATTAGAACTGATAGGTCTATCGTAGTAATCTCGTGATCCTCGATGAACATCACGATCATCTCTTCTTCTCGCATATGTCGACCATGATCGATCAGGTGATAGTCGTCGTTTTGGAGCATCTCTTGAATCACGATAGTCTCGAGGATCTCGAGGTGGTGGAGGACGAGGAGGAAGTTCAGCACGACGTGGTGATGATGCAGGTGGCATGATGGGATTTTCCAGGGGAAGAGTTAGAGCAAATAGGTCTACAACTTAGGAGGAGCTGGATCCTGGAATGGATTTGAGCAGGAGAAATTTGATTCCGCGCCTCGGACTATCCTTCGGTGTACGGTGTTGACTTAGCCGGGTGGGGATCTTCCCTTTCGCACATCTTCCATGATATTCATGAAGGGAAGATTAACATCGGAGGATGTTGTCCACTGTACGAAGACTTTCCAGGCAGGATACGCTAGGATGGATAGGACTAGGAGCTATGGGTGAGGTACTATTCTCTCCAGGCCTACCCCATGAAGGAGGATGAGGATGAGAGAAAGCATGAGGACTGATTAGCAGGACATCCTATGGCTCTCAATTTGTTCTCAAAGACGTATCTTGCTCATAGCAAGCAGCCGTCAGGTACGGATATACCATCATTCGTCATTTGTGAACAGGATGAAGGTCGTGCGCAAACGTTCGTGGCTGCTCTGAAGGACAGAGGAGGGACAGAGCTTGCTGCCAGAGTCGAGAGAGTAGAAAATGGACGTTCGTGAGTTTCGCTCCCACTTCCTTCCCCCTCTCCCCTTGAACATTTCCTTGCCTTCAAGCTGTTTGGAAACTCTGTCTCTACCAAATTATAGGTTGCTTTGCCATCTATCCTCTCAAAAGTCACCACAAAGCACGTCCCGGAGTGATACTCATGCGCAAGAGTATTACAAAAAGCATCTAAGATCTTCACCATGCTCCCTAACACTCCACAAGTGGAATCAGTATACCTTGACGAGTCCACCGGTATTTTGGCGGGTCTTCGATCCCTCCCTACCAATACCCCTACCCTCACCCCCCTCTCGCCAATTCATGACGACTCCGCTTCCCACACCCTATTGATAGATCATACAACCCTGGATCCAAGCGTAGCAAAACGTATCGCCTCAACAACCCACCAGACAACAAGCGGCAAGGTGGTCATGCTTGACGCCCCCGTATCTGGAGGTATGTCAATCAATCAAGTAATAGGACAGTGCTTATAGCAGGGACTGTGGCTGCTTCAGCGGGGTTATTGACTATCATGTTAGGTTCACCGAGTGCATACGCTACTACTCTAGCCATGCCTTTATTACAGCAAATGGCGAGAGAAGGAGGTATCATATTGTGTGGAGAGAATGGGACTGGTATCGGAGTGAAAGTGGCCAACAAGTGAGGTCATAGCCATTTGAGGATTGTGCTGATGATAGTATGATCTTGGCTATAAACCAGATCGCTTTAGCCGAGGGTTTAGCCCTAGGAAGATCATTAGGGATAGACCCATTGTTGTTGCATAGTGTCATTGATACTTCCTCTGGTATGTTCATATTTCCTCCTGGTTCACGCGTCGTACTTCATTGTTGTACATCGATCACCCTGACGTCAAATTTGTCACTGACCCAGAAGTTGATGAACAGGTCATTCATGGTCATCGAGAGTGAATTCGCCCTTGCCTGAAGTTCCCAACTCACCCGGTTCCAGAAACTATCAAGGAGGGTTTCAGAGTAAACTCATGCTCAAGGTCAGTTCAACGAGTTCATAAAGAATGACAGCTGATAGAACAGGACGTCGGACTCGCCCTCCACGCTGCTCACGAATACGATCTTCCTACTCCCCTGACATGGGCCGCTAAGAGTGTATATGAAGCGGTCTGCGCTGAAGGTGAAGGTGAGATGGCGACCAAGGATTTCAGGTATGTCTGACGACCAAGATCACAGGATGGAAGGCTGATTCCAGCGTGGTGTATGAGTGGGTCAGACAGAAACAGGCCGATGGTGTCGAGAAGGGATGGAAGGAAGAGTGATCTCAGTGAAGCCAAAGTTAGATCCCATTTGTATCATCAAGTTTTGTTAATTGTTGTACAACATGTAATATGTAACAGGTCCTAGGTAAGGCTCCCGCACGTGATTTTGCATGTTACTCTCCTAACACTACTCATGGTCGAGGGTTGTCAACTGCACTCGTACTTACTCGTACCACCACTTCTCCTTGACCCGTAAGCATGACCTCTCGATTCGATACATGTAACGCGCGTGTAACGGCAACCCTCGAGACTACCAGGGTATCGAGACCGTGTCGTCCTCCTGTCTTGGCCGCATGGGGTCAAGCGTCATTCCCATGTCGGATTATTTCCGACTTGGGGTAACCAAACTGCATGTACGGAACCTAGCATGGTCGTAGTCATGAGACACTAGACATCTCCTTTCCCTCTCTCTGTACATCTCTGTGCTTCTGTCGCTCCTTATCGTATTCAGCACACGACTGCGGTGATGATAAAGTGATCCGTTTCAACGTCGATCGTCGTGTAACGACGTCATTCAGCGCTCAGGCCTTCGTTGCCTTGTTGGTTTTCAGATTCACAAGTAGGAAACGGAGATCAATTGCAATTGCGGATAAAGCGGGTGACAAAGAGTATCAGGAACAGGTGATTGTCTCTTTCCTTCCTGTCCACGGGAGCCAGAATAAGTTCCGAAACCAATGGTTGATGTTGATGGAAGGTTTGATCAAAGGAGGTAGATGATGAAGGCTGACCTAAGTGATCTAAGTGATTTGCTGAGGAGGATAGATGATTGCATTGTCTTTTCTTCTTACTCACTCTGACAAGTGACAGGTGAGTGATAGAGTCGCTCGACCATGTACAGAGGGTGATACCTTGTCAGCTGAGATTGGGAAAACATAACGCTGTAGGTAGAGTCAGACGCCGTAGCTTGAAGCTTGTGCTGACCCCGCAGACCACAGAGCCAAAGCAAGACGGCATCACGAGGTCATACGTACGACTAGGTAACAAGATCAACACTTCCTACGAGTCCGAAGTCCTAACATCAGCATCGGATCTCGCACGAGCTAGAAGATCAGAGGAAGACACGTAAAGGAACAAAGAAGCGCATCGCTTTCAACCCAAGGTATGTGCCATATCGTCCTTTGATCAAAACCTTGCTTTTGACTCTCTCTCTCACTCTCTCTTCATGCCCTACCAGTGGTCTCTCTTGATCCGTAGACTCAGCCGGGGTGGCGACCGAAGTCATTCAAAGAGTATCACTACGGTCTCATGACCCAACCAAAGACATCTCCCCATCATGAGATGTCTCTTCACTGTTTCTTCTCCCGGCTCGGCCAACGATTGATCTTCCATCATAAACGGAGCTGATCACCGGTTAACCAGGTCGAACTTTGTCAAGATTGATTAGCCGACATCATCCCCTCTATGATATACGCTTCATGGAATGTTAAGACCAACGGATAGCTTTGGAGATTCAAGGTCGTAAGAAAGGTATGTCTCCTAATACTTCTCCTACTTTTTGGTCGGCACAACTTCCGCTTACCCCACCTTTCCCTCCTACATGATCTTGGTCATGCGACCTGTCGCAAGTGCGCTCAATCTCGTTTCGAAAGCTGACGATGGCTCCCCCTTAGGGTACCTACACTGATCAAACTCGATCACAAGGTTCACCCCACTTCACATGCCTTTCCATTCGAAACCACATGATCGCCACCGTTCACCCTTCCCCTACCCCTTCCTCCTCTCATATTTCCACTTCTACGTCCCCGAAGGCCCGACAGGACATGTCGCGTATACGAGAGATCACTCATCCCATCATGGCAGGTCCATCCACTTCCACCTCTGCGGTGACGCCGACGCCGACACCCGGACCATCGGGGAAGGGTATCAAAGGTCTCTTTGCTCGAGCTAGACCGATGTCCCCGGATGGTCCACCTGCTCCATCTGCCAGAGCGAGACTGAAGACGTTATTGGGAGATGCCTCCAGAGCTACTATCGAAGCGACCACTCGACGAAGCAGACGTCCGCCCGATCTGTCCAATCTACCCTCAGCCAAGACGCAGGAGAGATACCCGGCTGATCCCTTTGTGCCGAGTAAACAGGAAGGAAAAACTGCACCGAGGAAAGAGAGGATGGAACAGGATAGAACAAGACAGACCTCACCCCAGCCCAAGAGGAGTATTCGTATCCCTGCTTCCATGTTACCCGCCATGCAAAAAGATAATGACGGACGATGGCAACCTCCATCCCTATCCAGAGGTTCGATGTCCACCTCGGCGCTAGCAATATATGGGGACGAAGCAGACCGTCGGTCTTCGATAGAGACAGATGATCAAGGTGACAGACCATCGAGACAGTCTCTCACTTCACTATTTCAACCACCAAAATTACCGCCTTCAACCCCTCCTTCTCCCTTATCACGACCTGGTCGATATCCACCCAGTAGCTCTACCAACCGACCTCGACCCAGAGGAAGTACGACTTCCCTTTCTGGGCAGTCTCCAAGTACACCGTCTCGACTGATGCCTCCCCCGTCTATACCACTTCGCCCCAAGGCCGACACAAGTCAGCCACTGCTTTCCAAAGAGCATTATCACCTACGGATCGCCGGGTCATACATTGTCCGCCGGTTGTCACCTTTAGTCAGAGGGTCTGGGTTCTTGCAGGGGGGAAAGCGTGCGGACTTACGGAAAGCGGCGGATGAGCGTTTGACAATCTTGAGTCGGATGGAAAGGAGCTGGGGGAATGAATGGCTCAAGGTCTCTGGCGCACTTGAGCAGAACAGCCCGGTCGCTGATGGCTCGGAACACGTCATAAGTCCGTCACCAACAAAAGTCCGATCCGTCTTTGTCGGGGAGAACGCCAAGGCGAGGGAGAGAAAAGCTTGGGTAGATGCTCTGAAGGATGGGATCCTGCTGTGTCTGTGAGTATTGTCTCCTTTTCCGAATGTCCATCTCTATTCAGAATGCCCTTGCCGATTGAGATCAGCATTGCTGACGATGCATAGACTATTGAATGAACTTCTCCCCTGTCACCCACCCCGGATAGGAAGGATTCACATTACGGACGACGGTGTGCTCAGGGTCACCAACCTCACTCGATTCATTACCACCTGTCAAACGGTGGGTATGAAAGATGCGGACGTTTTCGGCGTCAGTGATATGTGCGAAGGTTCCGAGGCTAGTCTAGGTAGAGTCGCTTGGACTGTTGTCTGTCTTACCAGATTGGCAGCTCAATCAAACAATATCCCGACCCGGAGAGCAGCAACACCATCAACCCCTGGAAGTAGACCAGGATCAGCTGCTTCCAACGCCTCTCCCTCTCCTGGGAGGATCAGGAGAGCTCATAGTCCTCATCGACCGCCGATCACCGTATCACCCATCGTGGAGAAAGATGATCCCATCTCATCTGCCTTCGCCAAGCAGGACTTTCCCGGAAGATTGACCTCTCCAAAATTGCATGGGAGACCGAAGAGTCCTCTTCCACCAACCGTTGAGCCTACCTTCAAAGTCGCTTCTCCTCATATCTCACCCCCACGGACGCCCGTCACCACCTCGAGACAGACCAGCTCGGCAACACCTCAAAGAAAGTCGGTCATTCGGGCTCAAACGCAACCAGAACCTTTGCCCAGCGGCACTACCAATTCTATATCTCCTCCCCTTGCTCGAGATAGCAATGGTACCCTCGGTTCACCAGGTAGAGGACGACCACGCCTCAGACCAAGATATACTACTGGTGCTCGCGCCCAAGTGACCTTTGCATCAAACTCTCAACCTTCATTCGCCGATATCCCTGATGGACTCCCAAACACTGTCGAACCTCTGGGATTTCACTCCCGGGAACGTACCCCTAGTTTAATCAGCTCAGGATCACGTGTCACTTCTTCAGCATATACTCGTTCCAGCGCTGCATTGTCTACAGCCACCATTCTGGGCGAAGATAATGTCATGATTGCCGACGATGACGATGACGACGATACACATTCCCAAACAACTACTGGACGTCCAGGTCTCGAAGCGCATCGTCGAATGAGTGGTAAAACTTTACATGATGCTCGTCAACGTATTCTTGGAGTTTTGTTAAGCTCAGATGACCTTCCAAGTGACTTACAACATGCATTGAGGCAATCTCCAGGGCATCATCCTGACGATCCTAGAACAGAAGCGTTACGACAATCTTTAGCTGCCCTGGAAGGGGTACGTCAAGATCATCAAGATTTGTCGGTCTTAGAGGACGACTCAGCTTCCGTGGCATCGGTCAACGAAATGGGCTCGGGGACAGATGGACAAGGTCCACCTTCTATGATGAGACGAATGAGTGCCAATGGAAAATTCCAACTACCCAAACGCTCCATATCTCCTTCACCTTTAGGGATGAGTCCAACCAGTACTGCCTTCCCCGCTTCGTCGAATTTGGAACCGTCAAGATTCCCAAACTCCACATCAATGTCCCGCGGTCCTTCAGAACAAAGTACGTATTCCAGAAACGATTTACGCCAGTCTATCATTTTGGACAGACGGAGATCAGAGAGTAATTATCTGCCCTTGGGGTCTTCACCAAATTTGGGAGCGGGAATGCACATGAACCATAGCGCTGTGAATCTGCATTTGGCAGCCTCGAGTCCGCCGTCTTTATTTAGATCGAGTTCTAGGTTATCAAGAGCGGAACCGATGCCAGTGTTGGAATACAAAGAACCGGGAAAGCCGAATGTGAAATATGTGAGTGACTGATTCAAGTTCAAGCTCATGTCAACCGTCACCCTCTGGCTTTGCGAGGATCCTACAATGTGTACATGGTAGATATCCTGTCGCTTGCACGCCGTGAGATGTGTGGTCTGACATGTCTTCGACCCTCAGGGTCGCTACAAGCCGCCTGCTCTGATGATATCACACGACCAATTCCACTGGAGCCACTGGCTTCCTTTTCACTCTCACATCTCTCATCCACATTACCAAGACTTTTGAGGACGAATAGAAACAGAGGGGTATGATGGCAAATGGCGAGAGCTGACCATTAGCAACTTGGCAACTTCATCGGCAAAGGTCAATTTGGCACAGTCTACCGAGCTCTCAACCTCGACACAGGTCAAATGGTTGCTATCAAGCGTATTGCGCTCGACGGCATGGAAGACCACGAGATTGACGATGTCATGCGAGAGGTGGAGCTCCTCAAGAGGTTGGATCATCCCAGCATCGTCAAATATGAGGGGATGTCTAGGGATCCGGATTATCTCAGTATCATCCTAGAGTGAGTGATCAATCCTCTTGCCAACTTTACTCTGCATCCTTGTCCTCTTCCTCGTCACCTACAACGGTAGCTTCTGGCACGAGAGACTGATCTGACAGATTTGTGGAGAATGGTTCTCTTGGATCGGTGCTTAAAGCTTTCGGGAAATTCAACGAGCGTCTCGCCGCCACATACACTGCCAAAATTCTCGAAGGACTAGACTACTTACACCGGGAAGGCGTGGTACATTGCGATCTCAAAGCTGCCAATATCCTCTCGACGAAGAACGGGAATGTCAAATTGACAGACTTCGGGGTATCACTCAACACCAAGGCCATGGAGAATATTCAACAAACGTTTTCCAGGTCAAAGGCTGGCGGAGATAAACGAACAAGTGCTATGTCCGGTGTGATGGGGACCCCCAATTGGAGTGAGTGAATCCTCATCCCGACACAACACAAGGATTATCGTTGTACGATGTTGACTGGCAGTGGCTCCAGAAGTCATCAACCTTGATGGTGCGCGACCACCAAGTGACATTTGGTCATTGGGATGTACGGTAATTGAAATGATCACCGGCAAACCTCCATTCTCGGATGTCAGTCATCCAATGGCCGGTGAGTCTTCTTCCCCCAACTTGTAATGTATGATGCTGACCAACAGTGATGTGGCGAGTGGTTGAAGGTGCTCCGCCAAATCCTCCGGAAGGTTCATCAGATGATCTGACACACTTCCTCTCACGATGTTTCGAGAAAGACCCAGATGTCCGACCTACCGCCTCTGAACTGTTTGAGCATCCATGGATTAAGCGGTACAACCCCGGCCTGGTGAGTTCCCTTGTGGTGACACAAATGAAGACCGACGGTTGACATACAGCAACTTCGGCCTCATGATAGCATGCCTTTTATCCGGAGGTTGAGCTCGAACTTCAATCGGCCAGAGAGTAGCGAAGTCTTCCCCTCGCAGATCATCACACCACCCATGGTGTCGCAGACGGCTCAGGAGATCAGTAGATCAGGTTCAACTGAGACGCTGAATCCAAGACGGCCTTCTAGCCCTTCGAAACAGTTGATATCTCATCGGTTCATCAAGACAAGTTTTGCATCGCGTACGTTGAATATCTCTCCGACCCTCTTCACTACTTTTCACATCTATGTAGAGGCTTGTGCTAATTCTCAGCTGTCCCCTGCAGGATATGCCATCACGACCTCAAGAAAGGAGCGCTTCTTTGTCAAGATTGTGGCATGATCTGTCATCCCACCTGCGCCAAGACTTCCACAGCCTCATGTGACCTCCTCATTCCTCCTCTAGCTCAACGTTCCATTTCTCATTCGGCGGTCGAATTTCCCGGTCGACGAATAGAACAAGACCGATCCCGTCGATCCAGTGCCAATTTCGATAATTCAGATCGAAGTAAGCGTAACAGTCGTCTTTCCGACATATCACGATTTTCTCTGGCATCATTCCAAACGGCTCAAACAGCATATAGTGGTAGCACCCAAGCCGGTGTCACAGTACCACATCCAGGGATGATCCTCCCTAGACGGAGTAGTGTGCGATTTGACACGCGTGTACATGATGAACAGGTAGCGAGAGCGGCGTATGAGGCTCAAGGAGGAAGAAAGGAGAGGGAAGTGGTGATAGGTGTGAGTGAGACGGTGCCTCAAAAAGGTCACCGAAGTAATAAGAGTGATTGCCTTGTTATGTGAACGCTTTGGGCTTTTTTGGTTGGCAATGGGAGGGAGGGAATTGGGCCGAACCGAAGGAAGTTGTATTTGGCTACCTGAGAGATGCATCCTATTTGCTACAACTTATATATCCCCTACTGACAGCTATGTGCGCTCCGTCAAATCGCTATTTCTGATCTGTGTTTGCATCGTTAGTGAGGGGAAGCACCTCCTTCGTCCTCATAGTCTTGCGACACGTCCGAGGGTTGGTCTGAGGGAAGATACCAAGTATGGCGCGACGTGGAGGGTGACGGTATGGACCTGTCCCGGAAGGTTGACTATCCCGGAGTCGGAGCTGAGTGTTGAGTCCGGGAGTGAGTAGGTTCGCTCTAACTCTGATCGGGATGCAATTCTGCCACCCATGGAGAACTGCAATCGTCAGTCGTGAAAGTTACAAGTACGGGACGTACGTCCTGCCAGTTGGGCTATCGCGGATAAATTCACTGGACCGTACTGCTCAATGGGGTGGTATTCCTGTAAAATCAAAAAGTCTATCTCATTCTGGCAAATTCAGCAATGATCTTACGAATGACAGAGCTCACCAGGAATCGGCGTGTTTCAGCACTCTTCAGGACCCCGATCAACTCTCCTCCTAGAGTCATCTTTTCCCAATAACACCCACTCTCGCCTACCAAACCGACTGAAGTTGCTCTCATATGCTCCCTACAGCCGTCGTGGATTGTGGGAGGGGCACTTGCGGTGCGGTCCTGCTTGGTCAATGACTACCTATGCAAAATGGAGCCATCACCACCGTCATAGATGACAGCTCGTCTGACGGTATGGTACTGTTATTCCATAGCATCTCTAAACAGATCAAGGCTAGACAAGATGAAGAGAAGAGAGAACAGTGAGTGGCTCAGATAGGTGATAAAGGTGGAATTCCCCCCTTTCAAATACGAGCTACATCATTGAGCACTCACCCGGAAGAACATGATGACATGCTGTAGTTCGTGAGCAATCACAGCGGCCAAGTGTACCAGATGCCTGTCGAAAGTTGACTGGCCATATTCTCTTGCTTCGACACTTGCATACACTAACTGAAGACACATCAGCCCTGGTCACTTGTGATATCTCCATGACACAGCGGAAGTTTTTGGGTGCGAAACTTGGTCAGAAGGCCTGGTGGAACACGATCCGGGTCAGGATGACGTCACTGGGGATAATGTGGATAAGATGGGTCAATACGACTTTGCCACGGCAGCTATAAGGAATATTTCGATGATACCAGCTCGAACGTCACACATGAGCACGCAGGGGAATGATCGACAAGGAAGAAAAGAGCTCACGTCGCTACGAATATTGATTATATCAGAACTTTCATCACTGACCATTCCGTAGTCTATTATGCTCTCGTCTACACAAATCTGGCAGCGATTTGCGGATAACCAAGCTCTGAGTGTGGGATGGATGGGTTGAGGAGGAGATAAGGGCGGGGGAGGAGGGAGGGGATCGGTAGGCCCGGGAGAGGGAGCCGGAGGCGCGGAGAGAATCGTATTTGTGGCCGACAAGCCGGCCGGCGACTCCACTAGAGCAATCGCCAGTGCAACAGCCTGTTGCAAGACCTCGGATGATATTGAATCAAGGATCCAATCTGATTCAAGGCCGACGACGATAAACTCGCGCTGGTCTTGAACACGCCCCGAGGTAGGAGGAGGCGTCCGTGGCGGATTCAATGGACTTTGAGAAGTGGATCGTGAGGTGGATCGCATGGTATACTAACAAGCTGATGATAAAATGACACGACACAACCAAGTCAGAAGAACGAGGGGGAAAGAAGGAGGATGTATAATTCTGCTCAATCTGCTTCCGGCTATACCGGCTATTACTAAGTAGCTCTCCGTTCTGGCGGTATGTTTTCAGCACTTCTCTTTCTACTCTACACTATCATTGTGCTTTCTTTCTTTCGAAAATGATGGAATGTCAGAAGGGAATAGACCTTGAGATCCGGAATGACAGGCCTACCCAAATCTACCATTCTCTTCTCCTCCTTCGCGTGCCTCCTCCTTCAGACTACATGAGCCTCATCCCTGATGAAACCCCTCTCGGAGCTGTTTGTATGCCCGGCACACATGAAAGTTGTGCTCTATATGGCTGTAAGTCCTTCCTTCACTCAATCCCGCTAAGGCTCAGGATGACGATAGATCCAATCAGTCAATGCCAGCAACCTGTCACTTCAATCTCTCGCCAACTTGAAGATGGTACGTTCACTCGATACACACTTCATCTGGAGCTCACTGGCAGGAATCCGTTTCCTGGACGTACGGTTGAGAGTAGTGGGCGACACTCTGCTTAGTATGTTCACCTCTTATGGACATTACTGAAGATGATGAACTGACAAAGGAGCTTATCATGGTCCTAGACCACAACGCTCTTCCTTCGACCAGATCCTCAATAGCGTCCACACATTCCTTGACGCTCATCCCACCGAGACGTTGATCCTGTGTATCAAGGAGGAAGCTCCGCCATTCAATGCTCGGTTCTCCTCTCTAGTCTACGACAATCTGAGACCATATCTACATCTTTGGTTCTTAGAACAACGGATTCCTTCTTTAGGGGAAGTGCGAGGGAAGGCCATTCTCTTCAGCCGGTTTGAGCGAAAGGAAGATTCCGAGTCAAAAGCCTGGCCAGATGGAATGGGGATACATCCCACCACTTGGCCAGATTCTCGCAAAGAGGGCTTCGAGTGGGATTGTGGGGGAACGCCGGTGAAAATAGAGGACTGGTATAGGTTGTCGTCGTTTTTAGAGATACCAGAGAAGTTCCAGACGGTTAGTGCAGTCTTTGCCAAACATGTTTTTCAATCCGCAATCAGCAGCTCTCGGCGACGCATGAGCTAACATTCAGTTGAAAGATCGCCTGGAAGCCAGTGGTGATCACCAAACCACCACGCCCTTCACATTAGCTTATGCGTCCGCGTCTTCATTCCCTCTCGCCTTGCCCACCACCATCGCTAAAGGCTTCGGATTTCCAAAGTGGGGTCTGGGAGTGGAAGGGGTAAATAGCAGGCTGTACAGGTGGTTGTTGCAACAATTAGCGGCGGGCAAGAAGGTGCGGGCATGTGTGATGCTCGACTTCTACCGAGATGGCTGGGATCTAGCAGGTTTACTCATCGCCATGAATTTCATTGACACATGAGTGAGTTTCTATTATCCACCTTACGCTTCCACTTTGTCCTGGAGAGTGATTGCGCCTTCACCCGTGTATAGCCCCCCTATTCTACCTGCCCATAAAACGAAGCTGACAATCCAGTTCCACGCCCTTCCAAGAAGTGTGAAACCGTGGTTCTGCGTTTCGAGGTCTCTGGCATCACCTTCAATCTTCCATCCCAATACTGAAGCCACCACTACTCCAAATTCCCCGCTCTGTTTCCCAAACCCACTCCGACACATGAGACTCAGCTCATAGATCTGTTCCGAATGGAGCGGCTGCCATCGTGGATCCGACTTGTCCACCTGTCTCCCCCTGTATGTAGCTATGAAATCGTCAAATCCCAGATGAATCCGATGTGACTTGTCGAAGTCGAGATCAGTCGGAATGCAGAAATCGGCCTCGTACGCCAGTCTAGCCGCCTGCGGATCTGAAGGAGTTCTAGGTTTCTGTGGAACCTTGGAGGATATGGTCGTTTGTAAAACCAGTGTGAAGTTGGATGGATGATTGGAAGCAAGGGTCGGAATGGCAGGATCGCACAGGACATCCAGAATGATGCCAGAATATTTGTGTCGTGCGAGGTTCAATGGGGAAGGTCCAAAGATGCAGCGTTGTGATGCGAAGCCAGCTCCACCAAGGGTGGTAATATCTGTCATATCAGTCGCGATGATTGAAGGAAGTTAGAATAAGGGACCGACCAAGTGTCCCGTGAAAACGAGCCCCACTTCCTTTCTCATCGTCGATCGACTGAGCTATCGATGGAGAAAGGGTGTACGGCTCCAGATGGGAGATGGAAGATCCACCTCTGACCCTATCGTCGACGGCGTGCCAGTGTGAGAAGTCCCAAAGGGGGAAGATGGGTGACATTGATGGTAGAGATGCGTCGTCAGGGTGCGTAGTTGAGATATGACGGAGAAGCTTCGGATTACTCAAAGTCAATCATCATCGGTGAGTAACCGTCTTTGTGGCACTTTGACGAAAGTGGCACTTTGCTTTCTCACCTCCGGGCATCTAGATGCACTTGGCACCTATGGTGCCCATGCACGCGGCATGTGATAAGAGAGCCAGGTGGAGGACGGAGAAAGGAGGAACAGGGATGACACGTCGGTGTTTCCTCAGGCGTTCTGAAGAGGTGCTCTTGCACCATCTGTATGTAAGTCAGAATCTCCATTGATATCTTGTTGTTTCATGTCAAACTGGGTCCCAAGGGATGTCAACACCGGTCACATACATATGTACAAGGCAACACTCCTCGCCCCACATCACTCTCCTCCAAAATTTGTCACACAAATATGTCAATGGTGTCATATGAAGATATCGAGTATATAATACCCCGACCCGACACGTCGCCAATCCCCACCCAAATTGAGTCGGAACACTTGACGGGAATTCTGACTTTCTTTTCAGTCGATCAGTCCGGGCGTCCTTTTCCAGTTGATTCCGTCCTAAGGAGAGCTTTACGCGACGCGCTATCCGTGACTACGTGGCCTTGCGAGCTTTCTTATCCACACTACCAAACATGGAAGGGATTTTATCATAGATGGCCAATGGTAGACGCCCGGTACATACTTTGTGATACCTTGAAAGTTTCCGACTGGACCAAACACGTTGCCTCAGAGCTTGGAAAGAAGGATAGACTTACAGAAGCGGAAATCACAACCTTATATGGAGATTCAGTGGATGTTGCTGTGAAAGTGGATATCAGTGTATCTCCCAAAGTAGGGGATAACGTTTGGGTAGGTTCAGAAGGTAGGGATATGGTGTACGTCACTTCTCCAGACATGTCAACCGTCAGAATGGAGCTTGAAAAATACAACTCCCAACTCCAAGACCTTCAGAGTGAATCCGGACTTGGATCACACCAGCTGCTCATATTGCTTGATGGAGAGAATGTCAATGAAAGAGAGGAGCCTATTGCGTATGGCGGAACCACTCAGTCCATGGGTATGACAAGGGTTAAAGATCACTGGGAGGTCAAGGAGATGGGGACAACTTTTCAATCTATCAATCTTGTGGTAGAGTCTCCTCCGGATAACGTTTCGACTATGACCACCCTTCCAGAAGGTTCTGCCAGTGGCGAGGTTGGACCGACCGAGGAGGAGTCAAGACAGGCTTGGGGGTTCTTGTCTCAGACAGCAACTCTATAGCACTGAACATAGTGGTGATGGACACTAGCCTTAGAGTTAGCGATTGGAGATAATGTTAAGCAGAATATCGCAGAACTCTCATTCCTGACCGGGCTTTTGCAACGTAAACAGACACACATGGAGTCTACGTACCGTAATTATTGGATTTTGCAACTATGTGAACATATCGCATTTGAATTATTGGATGTATTAGAATAACTCGGTGAAAGACAGGCGGAAGCCCTCAACTGATGTACTTCCAAAAGCTAGCCATAAGTCAGACACTTCCCAGGTCATTTTCATGGCTTCTTTCGACCCGAGAGGAGAGTTGTGAAGAGCAAACGGGGCCAATAGTCAGTCCTCTGTACCTGATAGGGCCTGCAACTATGCTGGAAAGGGATGTTTACTGTGGATACCTATCAAGCGGACGTGACATGCGTCATATCGAATCTCAAAGTCCATCATTTTAGGATCCACAAGAGGATACTCCACAATGACGTCTCGGTGAAATGACATAAGTTCAGGATGATAAGGCTCCACGATGATGAGGCTCCACAGTGATGAGGCTCCACAATGATGAGGCTCCATGATGAGGAAGCTCCACGATGACAAGGCTCCACGATGATGATGATTCACGAAGACGAAGCTCCACAATAATCGAAGACCGGTGGGAACGTGAATGAACTTGCTTGCACATATTTCGGAAGTAGGGGACTTCTCATCGTTCATACTTTGTATAAGTATTCCACTTTCATACTCCAAAACCAACTTAGTGTACCCTTCTGACTCCTACACAATTTTCATCAATTGCACCATCAGAGATTCGCCAGCTGTTCGAAATCATATCCATCCACCACATGTCATCGTCTGACGGAACCGCCTTTGAATTACACTCTTTTGTAGGATGGGTAGAGGAGGTACTGAAAGCAGTAGTTGAGCCATTGAGAGAGTCCAGTCCAAACATTTTCACCCAAGTTAACTCTCCAACTACCCCTCAGACGGTGTCTCCCCTCTCTTATACTGATCCCGGTGTCAATACTGATGACTTGATGCTCGGAACAGATCTCCCGGTCACCACGGGCGATATCGTGGAGATAGATGATGACACTTACACTGCAAACGTGATGACCAAACTCTCTCTCAGTCTCATCCCCATTCCTCTGATCTGTGTACATACGGCACTTCTTGCACGGTTCTTTGGAACATCCCAATTCAGCGTCCGCCTCCTCCGAGACAATCAAGACTCCTTGTCCTGGGTGCAGTTGACAGGCAGCTTATCTTTAGGGACACTACCTCTTGAAAAGGGTCACTTGGTGTTATGGAAAGGGTCAGAGAACGTGTTGTTAAATCTCTACAAGAACACCTGCAGAGAATTTGCTGATACGAAGCACACGGTGACCGTAGGGCAGGAGCAGTATGAGGTCAGCTACCACTTAAGCATCCGGCCCTCACTTGTACCACCTTGTATCACAATTACGAATCAAACAGTCAGACTTGTGGGACCCAACAGTTGGTATCCTATTAGAGACGGAAACTTCTGCCATGAAATTAGTTCTGATGGGGACAGCTGTGAACTTCAACTTGAACGGGCATTGGGAGTATTTGACGGGATGTTCCTGGAAAAGAAAGTCATAACCACTACAAGCGCCCGTTCGGCACAGTCCACTCTAACAGACGAAGGTCCCTGTCATATATCTGTGACAATGTCTCTGAGAGCCATTTATCAGCGCCTATCGTCCTAGACACATCTAAGCAGATGAGGTAGGATTGGACCAAGGATACAACCGGCAACAGTTCGGCTTCTCCCAGGTACCAGAGGCAAGAAATGCCTCTGCGGAGGATTAGTGTAGGTAGTAGTGATGAAATGAGGTGACTCAGGAGTCTCACGATTTCATTCCGGAACCTCCTTCGACCGACCCTTGAAGTGGAGAGGTCACTGATGTATCCAGCAGCGCTTCCTCTTTTCACACCTCCATCCGGGGGGATCACCTCCAATCCTATCTTGGTTTCCATCTCTTTCTCTGACATCATATCACTCCCTTGTCTCCTAGTGGAAGCTCTGACCAGAACTCTGCACCGTTTTTCAAGGTAGTTGCACAGGATACCTGTACCGTCAATGGAGGGAGATTTACACTTGAATCTCAGTTCCAAGTATAAAGTATACACTTCTTGCCACCCTCCCTCAATCCATACCCCATCTCTATCCGTGACACACTTACTATAGCAGCAGCAATTCAAAGTACCTCTGAGCGCCACGTCTTTCCCAAGAACACTCAGGCAATCGTTTAGCCCCACTGTCGGTCTAACTTGGACACTCTTGTTAACTGATAATTAGATGATAATACAGAGGGGAAAAAAGAGCATGCATCAATTCTACATGTCTCTATACTTATCACATTCCACTCACATGCATAAAACCAGAGACGATCGAATAAAGTTCAGAGGATAAGTTGAACGGAGAAATATTCGACGGAAGGGGTAATTATCTAACGGCGGTTCGGCCGTCCTGGCCCGATTCTATCGGCTAACACTCCCCCACGGGACAATGCACGACTCTGCAGTAGTCCCGGACGATTTATCGATGGTGACGGCGAGGTTTGTGATGATGTAGAGGGTAGTAATGACGAAATATTGAGTGTTATGTGTGTGGTAGTAGTGGTAGGTGAAATCGTGAAATGAATTTCTGTGGGGCCCCCCGCGGGGCTCCGCTCTGACACGTGGCTACCACTCACCGCTACCAACGACTGACTCTTCTCTATCTTTCCTTTTACTTCATCACTTTTACCTCCAATTAACGGTATGTCCACCTTTCGTCTTTCTCCACTTTTATCTCTCATTTCTGACTCTCTGAACTTCCCTTTATCCTGTCTGCTTCTTAAAACTTCAGGTTTGCTAGTAGAATCCCGAGAATCGACGAATTTTCTTCGTGGTCCTGGCTGACGATATCTCATAGATTCGCCACTCGTCGAAAATCTTTTATTTTTATAAGAATCATCATTATGTCTCGTCGTGGGTTTCTCCTGGTTGGTCTCTGGAGGGAATCGGAGAGAAAAGGTACGCTGTTTATTGATTCTGTCATTATCTAGACTGATTTCTCGAATTCTCTCCAATGATAATCTTTTATCTTCAGATGTTGCTGGCCACCTTGGCCTACGCTCGGTTTCTCTTGGCGGCGGCCTCTCGTGGTGGACAGGGGGCCTCATCCTCCTTATTCGACATGATTCACGAGATGGAGGCTTGGGAAGGGGAGGTAAGGGACGTCTTGGACGACGAAATGAGGGGTCGTGATGTTGAGATGGGGAATATTTAGTTTTCTCTCTCATCTCACCATGTAGCCGTCCTTCCCTTCTCTTCTGTCCCTTCTCTTTCATCTCTCTAATGACTTTAGGCTCTACCGGTGGTTTCTGACCTATCTTCGAATTACTCACATTCTTAGGTACACCTGAAAATTTTACATTTTGGCTCACGAGAACTTTTCCTTCGGTGGTACCTTCGGTGGGTTTCTCTGAAGTTCCTTCCACCCACACTTCTCCTTCTGATACTACTTCTCTCTCTGGTACCACTTCGTTCTCTGTACCACCTGACAGATCTCCTAGGTCCTCGAATTCAGAATAATCGTAATCGATGATTTCATCATCATCTAATGTCACGTATACTGAACCAATGTTTTTCTTCTTCGGTGGTTCTACACGTATCGCTGACATATTCACCGAATGTACTGGTCCACCTAAAGCTTTCGTAAGTACATCTGCTCTCTGATAAACAGTGCTGACGTATGCTAGTTCAATAACTTTATTACTGACTAGATCTCGAAGAGCATGATGTCGAATATCGATATGTTTTGTCCTCTGGTGAGTACCAGGTTTTCTCGCTAGTGATATCGATCCTTGGTTATCGCAGTTTAATATAGTAGGACTTAGCTGATCGTAGCCTATCTCCCTCAGTAATCCTCTCAACCACTGAGCTTCCTTCGCTGCTTCAGCCATTGCGATGTATTCTGCTTCGACTGTCGACGACGATACTGTAGCTTGTCTTTTTGAACTCCAGGTTATCGGTGAGTTGTTCATCATGAATATCCAACCTGTAGTTGATCGTCGTGTGTCTTTACATCCTGCCCAATCGGCATCAACCCATCCTGCTAGGTCGCTAGCCTCGCCACCGAGACGAATACCATGTAAACGAGTGGACCGAAGGTAGGTAATTACCATTATCCCTTCCTCCCACACTTTCTTCGTCGGTTTGGTGAGGTACCTAGCAAGGTATGAAGCTGCATAGGATATGTCAGGTCGAGTACATGTGGCTAACCACTGTAGACATCCTATTAATTCTTGAAATGGTCAAATTTCACTTTCCACCTCCGACATCGATGGATTTTTCGCAGTAAGGGGTAACGGCGTTTTTCGGTCTCGGTGTAAGTCGTTTTCTGGAAACTTCTGAACTATCTTATCGATGTATGCTGGTTGGTTTAACCATATTGTCTTTTCTTCTCTGTTCCTTGTTACCTTCATACCTAAGATAGTACTTATCTCCCCCAGGTCGGTTATTATCCATCTTTTACCTAGCCCATCGAAAATTTCCTTCGCTTCTTCCTTCGATTTCGTGGCTAATACCAGATCATCGACATAGGCTAGCAGTATTGCTGCTCCCTTTCCTTCGATTTTCCCTTCTGGTCTATAGTAAAGACCCCAATCTGATTCGATTCTTGAAAATCCTAGGTGAGATAATCCTTCCCCGAGTTCAATCCACCACGTTCTACCGGATTGCTTTAACCCGTAAAGAGACTTGACTAACTTCAAGGTATTACATCCAGGTTTCGGTTTTATCCCCTTGGGATATTTCATGTAAATTTCAACATCGAGTTTACCGTTTAAATACGCCCCTTCGACATCGGCCTGACGAATTTCGAGGTCTTCGGTGGCCGCTATAGTCAAGAGTATTCGTAACGACCCCGATCTACCGACAGGTGCGAATGTCTCTTCGTAGTCGACACCTGGTACCTGTGAGAATCCTTGAGCTACTAG